ACAGTTTCTAGATATCGCGAAGTCAATGACATCTGGTGCCTGAAGGTGATTAAATGGGTGGTGAGTCGGCTCCTCAGTGCTGTGTATGAGGTAGCCGTTTCGTATCACATGGTTTTAAAGTCGAATCCCACTGGTGGAATTTAACCTAGAGTGCCATGCTCGATGTTTACAGTTAAAGTCCCCTGCTACAATAAGCGGACCCGAGCAGTCAAACAGGACCTCCAGATCCGTCTCTTGCTGCCTGGCACCACATCTGACATAAACCGATGTGATTTTCAACGAGATACCTCCCGTCATATTCACTACTACCGAAGTTGCCTCGATGCTCTGCATCTCAGCGTTTGTGCTTCTGTAATAGTCAATACCGCGTTTTAATAGCACTACCAAACCGCCACCCCGTCCATTTAATCTATCAGCGTGGATAACATCATAATTCGGGAAAGCTAGACGATCTCCCGGATTAAGCAATGTTTCCTGCAGCAGAGCTACATCGACGTTCTCATCCAAAAGAGCTTGATGAAATTCCCGTTTTTTGGGGACATCCCTAAGACCCAAACAATTCCAGAAAAGAATTTTGATGAATTCAGGCTGTCTGCTATTGTACCTAGCCATTTAGCGGAAAGATCGCCTGCAATACCTTAGTGGCGCTTATCAGGAGACTAATAATCTGCTGTAGGGACCTGAGCCCTGTAGTTAGATCCACATTTTGAGTAGTCGTAGATGAGCTCGAGACAGCAGGGGCAGTTGAGGTGTCATCTCTTGCTGCGTCCGCGTAGGACCTTGCTCGCCTTTGTGCGATGACTTGTAGATTTCTCCTCGGAGTAAATCTACCGGCCGGACTATTTGCCGGATGGTCCCCCCCACAGTTCGCACATCTGCGAACCTCTTGTCCTGTTTGAGGGCACATATGTGTCATGTGGTCTTGGGCACATTTTAGACACTTTGGCGGCGCAGTGCAATACGACTGTGCGTGTCCGTACTTCTGGCAGCGGTGACACTGCCCAATGAGTCGAGAGTTCTTCTGAACTTCGACTCTGATAGAGAGCTATGATTTATGACCTTTAACGTTGGTATCAGCCTTAATATTGTCAAGTAAGCTAATATTGAGTTATGTATGTATTTTGATTCGCAAGGACGCTGTAGAAGTACATCTTTCGTAGGGAACAAATACTGGTATGCGTAGCAATGTTTTGAACACAGTTATACTTCTGCAGCTGAAGTTACATACATTGAATCCAGGGTCTTTATGCTTTTTTGAAATCAAACGCTGTCTTACTACCGTCATTTATACTGATGGACTCGAAACAATTTGTTCGATATCTCGAGAACGCATCTCATATCAGTCTGAACTGATAGGAGATTATTAGAGAGCGGATTATATGCAACACAAAAATTCAAATATGTATGAAAAATGGTTAAAATATGCATGCAACCATCAAAACATGCAAAATTGAATAACAATAAAACAATGACTTTTATACTTCCTATTTTAAACTCGGCTTACAAATAATTAATAATTAAGCATTTAAATGACTTATCTATGAGATCAGTGACGACTATTTAACATTTTGTTATTTGTGTGAACACAAACAATAAGGCATTATTCCAAATACAGAGCGGTAAGATGGGTGCGTTCGATTACCTAAAATATTATTATAGAATGAAAAAGACAGGTGATGGAGGTGATAATATTTGAATGTGGGTGCTATGTTAGCTTTTATTGTCTCTGGCAAAACGTCACCAGTTCCCTTAATAAAGTTCTCAATTTGACGAAGATTTGAAGCCTGTGTTATTGTTTAAAATGCTTTCAAACTTATATTTAAACTTAGACCAGAATTCACCTGGCAATGTGGAGTTCATTTGCGAGATTTCTTTCATTAATTGTCTAGCTGCAATGTAAAATTTAATTCATTATCGAGATAACAAGCCGAAAAAGTTGTAATTACACCAAAAATATGCAACGTCTCTAGATTTTTGTTGAAGTATGCAACAACCGGCGAAAATGAGCCTGATATGTAAATTCATATGCTAATATGCAAATGCATGTAATCCGGACTCTAGACTATCAACTACAAATGGGTTAGAAAGTGCGCGACATCCAGTCCTGCATGTGAACGTAGCAGGATTCAGGCAGGACGGTATCCCTCACTGTAGAGTCGCCTCTATTCGCTCTTTTCAATAGGTCGTGGTTGTCAGTATTAACACCGCCTTATCGGATATTTTAGCTGCGTTTGCGTGTAGTGATGTACCAACAAGTAATCAAATAATTTGGATATCAGAATCAAATGAAAACTGAACACGTGTAGCTGCTAGCAAGGACATTCGCAATTACTACAATTTACTGATCGTGTACAAACGAGTGAAGAATTGAGTTGGTTTGTAAAACTGTCTATCCATTGGTATGTTTATCAGCAGATATGTCATCTTGGTTTTATCTTTTTTATGAATGTTCCTTGAATTAAATGCATTTTTTATTTTGCTATGTTTCTTTACCTTTTCCTACCGCCAAAGGTATCTGTTTCCCGCTTTAGATATTGGTGATGCTAAAAGATCAATCATGCGCAATTTTGCAGCCTCGTTTCCTTTCAATTATGCCATCGATTTCGGATATGTCAAATTAATTGTCGCGTTAATTTGATGTAATCGCCATTTTGCTTTGAAAATTTCTCCCACCAAATTGTTATGGAACCCATTTTTGAAGTTTACCACTCATCTTGATTTATATTTTAATTTGAGACCTGTCCGTTATTATTATTGTCCAATAAATAATTTATTTATTCGTTCATACACACGTAATTTCCCAATAGACTAATCCAGTTACAGGACCATATGATGGTAACTATAATGAAATAGCTCTGTGGGGACTCTCCATTTTAAACTAAGAAGATGAATTCTAAGATGTACTTAAAGTTGAAGGTCTTGCGATCCATTTGCAAGCTGATTTATTCCACCGTCAAGATCAATAGTTTGAGTTGTTGAAAACTTATTGGTAAAGTACAGCTATTACACAGTACCTTTTAGTATCCTCATTTACTTTTTGAATGGGTCAAGCTAGCAATCTGAAATTCGGAATGAATAAATTGATGCATATGTTTAAATATATCAGTGACAGTTGAAATTTCAAGATAGCAGCTGGGTGGGTCTTGAAGTATTTATTAAACAGAGTCGGACACTTCGTAATACCTCAATTCTTAGCACTAAATCAAAACTTTATAACATTAGGGTACACATTTATTACACTTCAATGCTGGGCGTTGCAGGTCTTTATACATTGTTACTTAACAATTAACCATCAGAAGCTATAGATACTGTGTCTTATAATTCTTATATTTTTGAAAGGGTATATCCGAACAGGCAATAAGACGAGGGACATTCAATTGAAAAAAAGACAAATTAATATATTACTTCCAAAGCCTAGTGGCGAGGAAGAATTGTAATCTCCAAAATTTCGAAAATGGGATACAATGTTTCGGTGCAGTGACGATGGAGAAAAAGGTCAAAAACGAAAATCATAAGGTTCCTGATCATTTTCGGAAATATTTTTTTTGGTAGGGGTGAAAAATTGGGGGTTACGGATTGTAGGAGGTGGGAGGTCAGTATATCCCATTTTTCCCTTGGTTTATTTATACGCCCCCAGCCCTAGTAATTCTACGCCCCTATTAGACATATTTCACTCATCATAGATGTCCAGGTACATTTATCCTTAAAACTTAGAAGTAACAACAATAGTCGCGTGTCGATATGTGTGACGTGGACCAGCTGACGTTAGTGCGTCGTGCGTCGTAGTCGGCAGTCGTCCCCGTGCTGTTGTGAGCAGTATCCAGTAAAAGTCAATATCTTCATCCACGCGGGTTCAGTCATAGCAAGAGGAAGGTCATTTGTTTCTGGTATACATGCGTAGCTAACTTTTGCTCAACAGGGCTAACTTATGCTGAACCTAATCCTTTGCGATCTGATGACAGCGTTGCGTGGGAAGTACAGAGTCAACTTACTTGACGGGATTTTGTTTGAGTATACACTACCATATTTTATAGCTTACTAAGACAGACTCATTCAAGAGAACAAGATATTTTATTACACTATTTCGTTGATTAGTTGTTAAGTTACAAGCGAGTCGAACAACAAAAGCTTTGACCTTGATAGCCCACTAGTCTTCCGTCTGAAAGCTAACTCTGTCTTTTAGGGTTATACAATATTCATAAGCATCTTTAAGGTGGTATATAGCATTTCTTCCATTCCATTTAAACAAGTTTCCAACATAGCCCTCAGCCGCCATATTGAACTTTTCAAGTGCCACTTTCATATTTAAGTATAGTATTTGCGTATATATTTTTGTCATCTCGCTAGCTTGATCCGCACGGGTATCATGTAAAAAGCCTATAAAACGTCAAAAAAACCTATAAGATGTCAACTTGCAGACTAGGTAGTTTTTAGGGAAGAAATGTTATGTTCAAAGTTATAAATTACGAAAAACTGAGGAGAATTACGGAAAATCATCACCGCGCCCACGTTGTGTGTAATTACGATTAGCATGTGACTTGCAATTCGACAGTGTACAGTTGATATAATTATTTCTTATCTGTCTCATTTTTGAAATTCAGAAAATTTGTATATGTAATTTCCAGAATGGATAAGAAAAAGTGGATGCGCAACTGTTTCTAGCTTTGAATCGTAATTAAGTGTATTTGAGACAAGAACCCAATGTAATTATCATCAACGCATACAGCTTACAGCTCAGACCTCCAATAATGCCATCTCATGTCGTTTAGGAAACACGTACGACTAAGTGCTACGTTAATATCTTGTAGAATAACCTACATTATGTCAAAAAAAAACAGCATAATGTCAAAAACAAATGAGGACGGGACATCAAAGAAAAGCACTTTGTATAGAATATTCTGCGGTTCGGAATACTCCTGCAGGAATTATCTCATCTCTATTCCGGCACCGTAGGAATAGCAGGAATAACATGCGTATTGGAGTAGTCGGATTCTTCCTGTTCCTGTGTGACGTTCAGCTGTTTTCATGCCGCGCATTGGCCGGTCAGAGGCTGTTATTGACTTGTTTTTCAGTGAACCTAAAGGGTCGCGTTGCAGGGTGAGATAGTGACATTGCACGTAAGTACGATCGTTGGTCTTTTGTCAGTCAGTAAAGAAGGTTAGTAAGGGATTATATCGACTTTGCGGTATCGCGTGCTGTAGCTGGAGGGTTTCGGAGGGTTTTCTTTTGTTTATGAATGAAAGAAGTTGCTTTTTAATAAGGGTTGTGATCAGGAGAACTCATGAACTGCTTTGATAGTTTACAAAGGTGGAGTTTTCAAAATATTGGTTTGAGCTTTAGGTTTAAGTTTTGATTCCTAAACAAAGGGCATTGTTCCAATGTGGTTCCAGCATGTGCGGATTTTGAAGTTTTTGTGATACTATTTGCAACCAGTCTTACTTCCCACGTTGTATACAGAGGAATATCAGAAGTAATGATGGTCATTAATGAATTTGAAAATTGTAACAAGGCAATATAAATGAATATTCGTCATTTGATATGTTGCTTTGACGTTCATAGTTTTTTCCTTGCATAATATCAGTAAGCGTTGCACCTGATTTGGTGAACTTCGGTTCGGTTCTATGAATAAATTAAATAAAGTCCAAAGAAGGAAACTAAAACATTCTCACACGTACAGTCTGAAAAATTCAAACGTGTTCCATTTTTGGCATCACAAACAAGGTAAAAGATCTCTTTAAAATAAACTAATTTCAAAATATTTACACAACTTATAGTAGATATTTGGCGACTTCAAAAATTATATTTTTTAGCCGAGCTTATTTTGCGCACGGTAAGTCAGTTCAATTTTGTTCAAGCATATTATTTTAAATCGATTACAATGTCTTTTGTCCAGATGATTTTTTTTTAATTTTCTGGATCGTTCCAGGAATTTGGCCATTGTCGAGTTATAAGCGATTTAATATCCCTAAAAATGGGAAACTTCGATGCTTGGAAACTCGGCTGAAAATTACAATTATTGGTGTCGCCAAGCATCTAATTTAAAGCCTTGGTCTAGAAGATGCAGGAGAGTATGTTAAGATTAGTGTATTTTAATACGATTTTTAACCATACCTTTTATGCCAAAATAGGCGAAATTTGATTATCTCAGACTGTACCTATATATTAATGTTTTACGAGTTGGCGATCATCTTTTAGATAGATCATGAATTCAAAACCTCGCTTTTGAACATCCTTAAGTTTATATTTAATCATTATGCTGTCTTAAAAGTTGTCTGTCTATCACATACCATCTCTAAATGTTATCTTGGTGTAGTAGATCTGTCTATACGAAAGTAAGATCCGAATGCTGCCGCCTGCGAGGAAAACAGTTAGAATTTGTTCAAGTTCTATGTAATTCTTGTGTGTGTGCTTATCTTGGCAGTAAAATTCATTATTATTATTATTATTATTATTATTATTATTATTGTTATTATTATTATTATTATTACTATTATCATATAGGGCACTGGACCTTCAAAGACTAATTTTGGGATGTTTTATAGCCTTTTGTGCGAACTGTTTTGCTATCAGTAGATCCTTTATGAAAAACATATCAACGTTATTTATGATCTTACAGCACATATCTTTCCAATATCATAAGAATTTGTAAAGAACACAGAACACCCACCCGCGATTTCGACATTTACAATTGATATACAACAAGAACATAGAACAGCCATCGACTGCAATCAATAAACATGAAACAATTGTCAGACATGGCCATGGGTCTGTACATTTAGGACGATTATTTTATCGAAAACGTTGAGCTGCCGGAACACTGGTATTTTTTTGGAGTTGTTAGTTAAAAAATCGGATTAACAGTGTCTTTGAACTCTCCTCATAGCGGCTGCGCTATTCCGGTATTTAGGCTTCTGTCTACGTGGCGGTATAAAGAAAAAAATCTGAGCGATCACGAAGTCATAGAGATAAGGAAAACGTCACGCAGTTTATAGCGAAGGTACTATACATAAACGCGACTCGAGGCAATGCGTTAATAGATGCCTATCGTCCCTAGTGAATTCGTAATTTGCTCATGACGAAACGTCTAATTGGGTTTTTTCTGATAATAAAACCGTGTGATTTTATACAAGGCTCATTGGAACACGTTTTGAGGGGACTGGTAGATTGGAGGCCAGCAAGTCTAAATCAGGTGGCTCACGAGAATTACCAACATCTACGCTTTGCTTTTCAAAACATTTGATTAAAGGGCATTCAATAACTTTATCCTTTCAGTAGCTTTATTATAAAACTTGTGGGCTGGCAAATTTGTAGATATCTGTATGTACGACATAGGGGTTTGACTTTTGGTTTACCGTACAAAGGAAACAGGCAAACCTTTAACCAGAAAGATATATGTATGTATGTATAGGTAATCATCTAACAAAATAAAGCAATTTTGTGGTTTTAGGACCGAAAAAGGGAACCGTGTTGCATTCAGTTAGCAACAAAATATCTATATGAAAAATATAGAGACGGTTTTTATGCCTATTACAAGGTATTAAAAAATAGACGGTTGACTTTTTAGTTTTTTGACAGGGAAAGATTTTATAGTCACTCTTAGGCAGAAAAGTCCTGTCGACCTTTCCTGCCCGAAGTGTAAGATTCCGCATACCCACTAAGACCCTCAATCGCTCGTTACACTCTACACGGTAGAGCTTTTTCTGGCCCAACTCATATTCTCGTAGAGTATCTCTGTTTACAGATCATCATCAAATCTTTTTTCCCTTACAATTTTCCCAGGAACACTACCGATAATTACCGTCATAATGTCTGAATTATATGCAACAACCAAGCTTTGTTTACCCTTATTGTTCATTCATGTGCTTAAGCTTTCTCAAGCGGTGGTTCGCGAACCCCTAGGGGTTTGCGAGCTATATGAAGGGAGCTTGCGAAAAATTTATGGTAATGGCGGAATTTGTCCAAAATAACGACTGCAGATATAAAAAGGTAACAGTCACGGAGGTACGAGAATTAAATAAAAATATAACAATATTCTGAAAATTTAAGATGGATAAAACGGGCAGTTTTGTGAACTCTGACGATAAGGCCGATGAGCAGTCAACTACTGCTTCTTCTTCAGTTCCCGATTTGGGTCCAACACAGGGTGGCGATGTTGAAAATTATAGTGAGGTACCTTCTTGCCAAAATAAAAGTAATGAGAAAATAATGAAGTCCTGGCCAACAGTAGTTTAAAACCATGGCTTCTTCGTCGGCACCTTGAGACAAGACATCCAAATTACAAGGATGAAGTATTGAGTATTTTAAAAGGAAATTGGAAGGTAATAAGAATTGTAGTGTTTCTTCTTTCCTGTAGGCTTTTAACGCAGATAGTAAAATGGCTCTTGAAGCATCATTTCGAGTTAGCTACAGCATCGCAAGATCTGGAAAAGCTCATACAGTAGCAGAAAATTTGATCGGAGCTTGTGCTAAAGACATCGTAATGTGTTTTTTTGGAGAAAAAGCTGCAAAAAAATGACCTTGTGCCCCTATCAAACAGAAGAGTGTCACGGAAAATTAACGATTTGGCGAACAGTGTTGAAAGTGAACTTCTGAAAAGAATAAAATTGAATTATTTTGCTATTCAGCTCGAGGAGTCGACCGATGTAGCAGACTGATATATTTTCAAGAATTCCATTCAAGAAGATGTGTTATTTGCAAAACCACTGGAAACTTATACGACTGGTGCAGCAACTTTTATTGTGATCAATGACTTTTAAAAAAAAAACATAAAATCAACTGGTCATTTTGCTTAGGTGTATGCATAGATGTTGAAAATCAATGTTGGTCTTGTGGCACGAATGAAGAAGATCAACGAGAGTATAGAATGGACTCACTGATGTATTCCTAGGCAAGCATTGGCATGTAAGCGTATTCATGCAGAGTTAGCCAGTACTTTAAGCGAAGCTGTCAAAGTTGTGAATTTTATAAAGTCCCGTGCTACAAATTCTCGTCTATTCCGTGAACTTTGTGATGACCTGGGAAGTCTCCACGTCTCTTTATTACATCATACAGAAGTTAGGTAGCTTTCTCCTGGCAATGTTTTGAGCCGCTTGTTTAAATTGAAGTCTGAAGTTCAGGTATTTTTTATTGACCATCCATTTCATTTGTCCGCTTCTGTATCCGACATTCTGTGGCTCCAAAAACTTGCATACTTAGCCGATATTTTTTCTAAGTTAAATGAACTAAATGTCCTTCCAACGTCCAGGAATCACCATGATAGAACTGAAGTCATGCTAAAAAAGTTCAACTTTTGGAATCAATGTCTGCAGATGAATTATTACGATTGTTTTAGCTCTCTCAGCAGCTTTTTAAAAGATAACAAAATTCAACTCAACGAAAACAGTAAAAGAGATATTACTGAACATCTCAAACAGCTTCAATTAACGTTCAAAGAGTATTTTCTTAATAAACTTGGATCACGCAATCCTTTTGTTGTTACCGTTCTGTACATCGTATCTGTGTGAGAAAGGATTTTTAACATGCACTTACCTCAAAGATAAGTAAATATATAATAGATTAAATGCAGAACCCGATCTATGACTTAAGCTTTCAGACATTGGACCAAATTTTGAATTTATTTGTTTCAACAAACAGGCACAAATATCCCAGAGAGGATTTTTGCAAGTATTGAATTACTTATATTCATATTATATTACTCCTTTTCTTTGTAACTCTGTTAGTTTTAATAACGTTTCTCTAAATGTTTTACGTTACAATTATGTTTTAATTTACTTATAATTCCTGCGGTTTCTATTATTTCCAACGTTGTCGTTGAGGTATAAGTAATTATTGTGTTGCATCTGTCGAGATCGCATGTTCAAGATATCTCTCTTATTCTCAGCTCTCTATTAAGTCCTGCTATAAATAGATGAGGTCATTTTAAAGTATCCCGTTTGGGAATTTCGGTCTTTTACTTGCGTGCATATGGCATGTGTGAAGGATGTTCGTCAATATATTTTGTCGGAAAATTGGACTGGTCGACAGCTGCAATCTTTTCAAAGAGGTAGTAATACGTTTAGTGAAATTTACGAAGCGCAAAATGGTGGAAGTGGAGAGGAAACTAACAATTTATGAGATTAGGGATAGGTGTTAGGTAGCTCCATCGTATGCCGCTGGAAGTGATAATTAAAATGTGTGGTTTGAATGAAAACATGGATGGCCTACACCAGCGCGTCTCAAAAACTCAGACGCCGTCTAAAGTCAGCTGCTTTCCAACTATCTGCATGAAATGCACTTTGTAGCCTATAGCTTCGAAGAAAACTTCTGAGACCACTTTTGGAGAAACCGATAGATTCTCATTTTCAAAATATAAGAACGAACTTTCAAAGAGTCGTTGGAATTTGACGCACACTGTATAAAAAAGAGCCTTCTTTTAGCTGCCTGTTGACCGGTCATGTTTATCACGCGTCTGCATCTCCATCCACTCGACGCCAACTGCAAATAAAGCTGTCTGCAATTTTCTTTTGTCTTCTGAGCGATGAGCTCCATAAAACAAGATGTTCTCGATTCTGGAACGAGTGGCATTGTGAATCGTTTAATAATCATTTCAGTCGCAAGATTTAGGGTTTATAGCGTTGAAATTTACAATAGCGCTAGGTTATTTGTAAAATATATTAAAATCTTTTTTATCTTTAGTTGCAAGTTCATTTGAGGCAAGTTGATTTGAGGCGATGACTTCCATGTCAGTTCATCAAAGTTACTGAACTTTACGAATTTCTACAGGAACTTGTATAATATTCAAAAACAGATTTTCCAATCCCCATTTCAGCTGCTTATTAGCCGGCCATGCTTACCACATGTCTAAAATTTCAGTCGTATTTCTTTTTTTGTTTTGTGGGCCTTCCTCTCGATAGAAATAGTTGGCGTCAAGTAGGCTCACTCTGCACCTCCCACACAACGCTGTCATCAGTTTATAAAGGACCTTGTTCGGCCCAAGTTAGTCCCTTAGAGCTAGCTACAAATACAAGTATGTATAACAAAAAAAAATCAGTCAAGTCAACCAAATAGGCCCATATACAATTAGAACATACTCCATAGTCCATATCCGTTTGATAACGCTATTTTCTTCCCTGTCCTATCCCTATCCGGAAACGCTTCTGGACCACTAAAAAAAACGCGTTATAAGCGCAAGCCACGAATTATCTGACCGAGTCAGTCTACTTGCTTTTTAAAAAGATTTATTTTCGATTATGAAAGTACAATTCTATTGATGTATATAGTATAAGCGTTAACAACAGACTAACTAACCGTGAATACAATAAAATAGGACTGGATAAGGCAAAGTGCTGATCCAAGGAAACTTCATCCTCTTCTTTAGTGGTAGGGGTAAATCTTCTGTACTATAACGCCTCCCCTCGTAGATGTAACTTCGAGGGTTAACGAGGAAGTTGCACTTTCGAAAGATCAACTTCTTCAATAGGGGTTTTTTGTGGTTTCTTCGGCTTAGTAAAAATTATCGGAATGATCTTCTTGTAGACAAAACAGCAAAGTAGCAGCAGCAGTACTCCATACATCAGGATTGTCCAAGAACTGGGAATATGCGACACCTTATGTGAATGGATGTCAACACGGTTTTCTATTAATCTTCTTTTTATTTTGTAAACTTCATCAAATTCTATTTGGTCCAGATGAAGGCTGACGTCATTCGGCTTGGTAGCAATTGAAGTATTGGTATCGATATTTGGAAAAATAATTGGCTGACTTCCAATCGATAGAGGTTCTTGATTGGCGATGAGGACTTGATTTAGTTCCAGTGTACAACCGACTAGAATTTCGGCTAAGTGGGATTCCAAAACTTTGACTGCTTCTTGGTCTTCTTGACAGCTTAACGTAATCGTGGTTTCATTGGGTATAAGCAAGATCCATTGTCCGAAATCATGCAGTTTCTTCATTACTGGATCTGTGATTACGGCTTCTACTTCTCGGCAGGTAGTGGGAGTTTTTTGTTCCAGGAATTGAACTTCACAGGGACTGGATTCTTTGATTCTTCTTAAATCTATTTTCTTGCAAACGTACTGTTTTGTGACCGTTTCCGTTCATGCGTCTCCCGCAAAAGCGAAGTACAACTCATTCTTTACTAGATATTTTCCAGAAGGTATGACTACTTTGAACAAACCATTATGAAAGGTTGGAATTGAATATTAAGGATAATAATCAAATTGGAATGTATGAACAATTGGAATTTGAAGAATGCATGTTATTTTTCGATCAACTGTATAACAGCTGATTTTAATGAGCTTTTCAAAAATTGGAATATAATCCAAAGTAACTTCTAAAGGGATTTGTTTTGTGGATAGCTTTAATACCACTGAATTTAGTGCTTGAAGTAAATGTTTTGGTTTGATTACACTATAGTGCATAATTCCCAGTATTGCAATAGTAAGTGAGTTTTCTATATCCTGGAGTACTAAAATTATGATATGGTAGATATTAACGATCTCTGAGAATGCATCTATCAAGAAAATGCCATTTTCTATGTAGACTTGTGTGTTAATCACAGCTGTTGAAAGCTAATTTATTTTAGCTTCCAATAGCTTTTGGTTATGAGTAATTTGACTGATAGTTTTATTGAAATTATCGATAAGTTCGACAGATAAGGTATTCTGACTATTCATAGCTAACGCATCCAGGTTTCCTGCGATTGCTTTGAAAATTGAACCTAAGCCGTTTATTAATCCCCTTTTTATTCTAACAGAGAATGATGGAAAAGTTTCGTAAGTTTAGGGAAAAATGTCATTTAGCTTTCCGTATACTTTTCTTTCTAAGAAATACAAAACATTGAGGTAATTTGCTGAGTGTTTATAGTGCTCAATATATTTCCCGGATAATTTCACTACATTGTCGGTTTTTTCTTAAGGTCATTAACTTCAGTGATTATTAAATTGACGTCGTAAAAATACAGTACTGAGTGACAAGTTTTTGTAATTTTTGTAGTACCTAATTTCATGTGTATCAACCCTAGGTTATTTTCTAAATTTTTCAACGTTATCGTACCATGGATTCCTATGATTCCTGGGAACCTGTAAAATAATATATTCGAAAGAAAATTTTATTTTTAGCGTGCAATTAAGAATAAAATAAACGTAGATTACATACATAGTTTCTTATCTAATTGCTCGAGGCTTAGTCAAACGAATAAAGTTTGCGTAGCGGACGTTTCAAATTACTTATATGCACTTTTCCGTGCTGGTCTTTTTCTCCGCTTTAACACTTTGAGAATTTGTTGGCGTGCTTTTTTCTAAAAAGCTTTTTGACGTATACTGTTTCTCGGTTATCAAGTATAGTCCGACTATGGCAATCACTGTTAACGCGTTCTAGCGTTTTCTCTTTGTTTTGAATGAGATCAGAATTTATTTTTGAATACAATAGCTTTGTACGCCCTTTGTTGCTGTTAGTATAGTCATTGAGGAGTAATTGGTCGATTTTGATATCGAATGATCCATTCGACGTAATATGTCCATTGATTATACCTATAGGCTTTAATTTTATGTCAGAATGTAAGGTGTGGTTGTAGGCTAAAATGGCATACAACATTTTCATTTTTATAGGGGTTTTCTGAAAGCCTTATGTGTTCAACAATCTTAAATGTTCGGTGATAGTTGAATGAAATCATTCAACGACTCCATTAGAATCTGGATGATTTGGCGAAATAAAATGAAGCTTAATTTTATGAAGTGACAAAAGTTCAGTTACAACGGTATTTTTGAATTCAGGGCCATTATCTGTGATAATTCGGGTAGGAATTCAGTGATGAGAAAAGAATAATATCAGATTATCAGCAATTTCAGTTCCTGAAAGCGAAGTAATCTGATATGCTTGAGCATATTTAGAAAAACTGTCTATAATTGTGAGAAATTATGAACCTTCAAAAGTGAAAGTATCGATATGTACGATTTCAAAAGGTTTTGATGACGCTCATATCTACATTGTTGATAATCTTCACATTCATATATAAATGTTTGAATTGATTTTTCCCAGTTAGGCCAAAAATATTTTTCTTTTATTCTCTGATGCGTTTCCTCAATTCCACGATGATTCAACTTGCTTTCGTGGTAATTCCGGATAATGTCCTTGATATCAGTAACGTCGAATAATTTGGTTCTACACATTTTGAATTTCAAAGTATCGGACTTAAACATCCTTTGTAGAACAACAGAAAATTTTTCATATATATCTGGATTTTCAAAGTATAAGTGATAAATTACGTTAGGAGCAATATAATCTCGAATAAATTTAAATAGATCATCGTCAAAATTACTTTCTGAAAATTGTACGTTAATTCGTTGCTTGCTTTCAAATAAAATAGAAATTCTTGGTGGTGCAGGTGAATGCTTTACTGTGTTCATGATAATCTGGATAGGAATTGTCTGAATGGGGTGTTGGTCCGCATTTGAATGTACAGTTTAGTCTGGATTTTCAGGACGATTATTTTGATATTCTAGATTGACTTGTTCATGTTCAATCATATCTACAATTTCGTGTGGGGGTTGAATAAAAAGACTGTCTTCGTCATTATCGACGTTTACGAACATAGATTCGGTATCAGGTTGTTTTGAGGTAGAAAAGTTGAATGTAGGTGTACTTAATTCAGATGAGTCTTTTTGAACTGGTCGGTCAAACTTAACGTTTTAGTGTTGAGTACCCGCGCATTCTTGAATCAAATCATCTACAATTTCGTCTGGGGGTTGAATAAAAAGACTGTCTTCGTTATTATCGACGTTTGCGAACATAGATTCGGTATCAGGTTGTTTTGGGGTAGAAAAGTTAAATGTAGGTGTACTTAATTCAGATGAGTCTTTTTGAACTGGTCGGTCAAACTTAACGTTTTGGTGTTGAGTACCAGCGCATTCTTGAATCAAATCATCAAGTCGTTCCAAAATGAACTGGTTTCTTTTGTATGGATCTCTACACGAGACTGGGCATCTGCATTGGTATTCAGTTTACCTTTCTTATAGACGATATTCATATCATACTCGTCTAACCTGATTTTCCATCTTAGTAATTTTGAAGAAGGGTATCGAAGAGACCATAAGTACAGTAATTAGAGTAGAGTAATTAGATTGAATTTTCTCCCGTAAAGACAGGGCCGAAAGTATTTAGTCGCCCAGACTATTGCTAGTAATTCTTTCTCAATCGTACTATAATTTCGTTCGGAATCATTAAGCGTGCGCGAAGCATAGGCGATAGGAAGATCCTGTCGTATAGGGCCTGGTGAAAGTACACAACCAAGTGCTACGTTGCTTGCATCCGTGGTTAAGTTAAATGGCTTAGAAAAGTCTGGATACTTGAGTATAGCTTCATTCATAAGAACATTTTTACATTTTTCGAAACAGTCAATAAATTCAGCATCGTGTTCAATTTTGGCACCCTTTTTTAGACATTTAGTTAGAGGCCTTGTGAGTTTCGCAAAATCCTTTATAAAACGTCTATAGTAACCAATGAGTCCGAGAAAGCTTTTAATCTGCTTAGTCGTTTTTGGAATCGGAAATTTTTGGATGGCAATAATTATATCTGGATTTGGCTTAACGCCGTCTGGTGTGACTACATGTCCGAGATAAGCTACTTCTTTACGAAGGAATTCAAATTTGTCGAGCTGTATTTTAAATTTTGAATTTCTGAGTCGTTGAAAAACTGACCTTAAATTTTCAATATGTTCTTGAAGGGATGTAGAAAAAATTATAATGTCGTCGAGATATACGAGACAATTCTCGTTATGTATCCCCCTTAAAATATTATACATGACGGGTTGGAATGTGGCGGGCGCGTTTTTTAGGCCAAAACGCATCCGGAGAAACCTCCAATGACCATTTTCGGTACTAAAGGCGGTTTTCTCTATGTTTGTTTCCTCCATCTCGATTTGATGGAAACCACTCGCTAAGTCAAGGGTAGTAAAATACTGGCATCTGCAAGTCGTTGATATTGGGTAACGGATATTTATCGTCAATAGTCTGTTCGTTTAATATACGGTAGTCAATTACAACTCTCCATTTTTGCTTTCCCGAACCGTATAGCTTCTTTGGAATAGCGATACGATTTTGTCTAAATGGGCCTTTCGTTTTTGGTTTTTATTTGATGTTTGACTTTATTAGTAAATGTTAGTGGAGTTCTGTCCTGGTAAAAAATGTCTGAAAACTGTCTGCAAAGTTGAAGTATCTTTGATTTCTCTTCAGAATTTAGGTGATCAATCCTGATTTTCGACAAATCTAGGTCAAATTTTTCTGATGTGTCTAAATAATAGAGATTTTTGATGAGGGATTACAATTTCACCATTGGCGATCGATGTTTTGATTTTTATTACTTGTTCGGTTCGAGGTGCGACGGTTATCAAATTTAAGTCGTTAGAAAGCTGGTGAAATTTTAGTCTAATTTTGGCGTAGAGCTTATGTAAAGTTCCTTTACTTAAATTAATATCGGCTCTCAATAATTTTTTATTGTGAAATTTAAATAGGTAAAACTTCAAATCCATACGACTAGGAAGATTGAAAATTTTCGATGCCGGGATGGATGGATGCACTATATTTGTGAGCGGATTTTTGAAAAACAGTTGATTCAACAAATCTTTGATTAAATTTGTAAAAAAATTACGAGCAATACTGGGATCAATAAATGACTTAGTTGATCTAGAATCGATCAACATTTTAATTCCATATTCGGGAAAAATAATGTAGGATAGTTCGCTAGCATTGCTGGCGTTAAGTGAAATTACCTCTGGTGCTAAGTTTTGTGGTCTATGAATAAGTCCTTCTGAAAATTTTGAGGTGGTTCTACGTGATCAGTTTCAGGATTATCTTGTGTATAATACTCGCAATATTGATCAGTAAAATATCTATCTGAATTTTGTGGTTCAGCTACAGTTTGATCGCAAACAAAAGATTCGTGACCAGGAACTTCA